TGACAGGGTCCAGCCGATTAACGCCGAGGGGTGCAGGGTCGCCCCTTGGTGAAGAATAACCGGCCGGCCCCTCACATAGTTCTGAAACCTGTGCTGCTTCTAATTGCCTTTCATTCCTTTTCCTTTCTTAACCTCCAGTTTTCACTCCTTTGGGTGGCTGCTTGGGAGGTACTACCTCCCGGGAGAATTAAATATAGTAAGAGAATGTGACCACCTGCAGGTAGCTTTCAAGATATTTTTCTGAGAGCTAATTTCATTTGATGCAGTTAATTAATGGAGGAGCACACAGTCCCTTTTGAGACAAGCAGAAAGGAATCCTGCCCAGATAAGATGTCGAATTAGGTTTATGGCCTCCATCCGGTTAATGTTTCCTTCTCCCTCCAGTTCTTTGTCTAAATATATATGCATCGTCCTCCCAAGTTTGCTGGTTAATTGGATGATCAAGAAGTATCTATATATTATTCTTGACCTTCTGCTTTCTGTTAAAATGTTATAGAGGTTTTCTCCTAAAAGCAATAAATAATAAATAATTGATGAGTAGAAGGGCCGAGGGGTGCAGGGATGCCCCTCGGTGAAGAATGGCCGGCCGACACCCCTGATATTTTCTGAATTATATGCATGCTTTCTAGCAAGGTTATGTCTATACTTATTTCTGTTTTTCATTCTTGAAGATATATCATTTAGCTTAGCTTTTCAGCCCTTTACTTTACTAATAAAATGATATTTTCTCCTGGCAGTGTGCTTAAGGGACTGTTAGCTCTACAATCTAAAAGACAAAGGAATGCTTTCACCCCCTAAGGGGCGCGGGAATGTAAAGATGCTTAACTGCCCGCTGAGAACGCAAATAGCCCTGGGGATAAGACACCCTGGAGTCGCCTTTTGTTCCCATTAACCATCTACACTAATGGCGTAAATGATTGAGGGAGGCAGGGATGGCTCCCCCAGGATGTAAACAGATGGACTGCTGTCCTGTCCGGAGGCCTGGACCTTCTCTCTTTGATTTAACTTTACCATGAATTACAACAGATGCCTAGGTACCTATCTCTTTTTGCTTAGAGACAACAAACACTAGTTAATTGCGGAGAAGACTACCATTAACCTTATGCTCTATAGAATAGAATGCTAATAAATATTCTTGTGCTCGTTTTTTACTTCCTTATCTCTCTGAGAATATTTGTAGAGCTATTTCTGTACTAATCCTGAAAAATATAGAAACGACACTTGTGCACAGTAAAGTCGGACTTGCTAACACCAACCAAAGTCTCACGTCCTCTTCATTTTCCCTCGTTGCACCGACGCCGTCCATCCCTCAGGAACCTGGACTCAGCCGGGGCGGGACTCCGGCCATGAGGAGGGATGGGGGTGTGCCACAGAGACGATCGGGACAGGCAGAGTGGAGCTTATAGAACTTTGTGTAATCTTTGGTTTTCCTCTGAGGGTGGAGGAGGGTTCTGAGCAGAGGAGGGGCGTGATCTGACTTGTTTTAACAGGATCCCCCTGGCTGCTGAGTTGGAAGAGAGTTTAGGAGCTTGATGGCGGTGGGGGTGGGGGGGAAGGTTGATTTTGGGGGGGGTCAGGGGCATTAAGTACAGAGAGTTCTATTTATTTATTCCCCACCTTTGTTCTCCCTCCTTCCCCTGTTCCTCTCCCCTCCTGAAGCAAACCTCAGATGTGCTTGGAGGATGTCCTCAATCATGGGAGAATTCAAATACACAAGGTTGTGCCACGTGGGTGTGTGCTCATGCTACATCGATGACACCACCTTCTGGATCTTCTCCAGACTCTTTGTCCCTAATGCTGCATGGTTAGATTTCTCCAAGTCGTTGCGTGAACAACTGGCTCATCCTTTCTGCGGCTCCATGATGTTCCCCATTTTAGTTTTTCATTCCCAGAGTGATGACCCCCAAGGTAACTTCCAGTTCCCGTCCCCCAAAATAATGCTGCAGTGAACATCCTCGCCCGTCTCCCCATGTCTTTCTCCGGCCCCGGCATCGGAGCAGACTTGGGATCGCTGGGACACAGGACACACATACTTCACGTCACTAGAAACTGCCAGGCTGCTCTCCGTTGCAGTGACCCAGCCCGCAATCCTGAGGAGTGGAGGCAGCTTCCCAGGTGCCCACGTCCTCACCAGCACCTGCCATTTTCCACTCTTCTGCCCTCTGCCGGGGGACTGGGAGGTGACTGGGTCCTTTGGTGGTTTTCCTCTCTCTGCCCCTCAGCTGAAGGCTCCCTTCACAAGCAGAGCGCATGCTCATTCCAGAACCGCTCATCCAGCTCCTCTGTCCCTGTGGGTGTCTTGTGTCTCCGGCCTGAGAGCTTTCCAGGGGCTGATGAAAACGCTGGAAATAGCAATTGACTGCCTACAAAATGTGAAAAAATGGCCAACTGAAAATTAGTAAGTGTTGGGTTAAATCAGTATAGAATACACCCTCATGCCAACCAGCCAGCCCCAGTGCAGCACCTCCTACGATTTCTGCCTGATGAGGAAGGTGGGGCATTGTAATATGGCGGATGTGATGCCAATACGGCCGGGGGCGGGGCGTGTGTGCACAGTCGTGGCCACATGCTCGGCAGGGTGAGAGGAAGGCAGAGTGAGTAAGAATGTGACCCTAGAGCTGTCCTTGGGCTCAAATCCTGACTCTTCCCACACTTACTGTGTGACTCACACAAGTGACTTTAGCCTTCTGTGCCTCAGTTTCTTCCTGTGTACAATAGGGGCAGTGACAGCATCTACCACAGAGAGGTTTTGTGAAAATATAATATTTAGGTTTTTGGTGTTTTTTTAAATTTCAGATTTAGTATAGTTTCTTATTTCATCAAGTATATTGAGCTCCTGCACCATGCCCTGACCTGTGCTGGGCTGGGTTTGGGGACAGTGGTGACAAGAACCCTGGCTCTGTCCTTCTGGGGCTCACTTTCCAGTAGGGGAGAAAGGCCTGTCCCCAACCAGTGAGGACCCGCGGTGGGCAGGGCTGGGATGGAGGTGCTTGACCCAGCCTGGAGGTCAAGGAGGGGCCATCCAAGCTGAGACTTGGAGGGTGGCCGTTGGGTCTGTCTCCAGCTCATGTCAGACCCTTGTCCTCATCCAGATCCCTTTTCCTGATCCATTGACAGTGTAATAAACATCTCCTGTGTTCATGGCCATGAATCAACCCAGAGCCTTCTCTTGGGGAGCCCAGCCAGGGAAGAGCAGAGCAGAGCCATAACCCCAGGCTGGGCTCCACTGCGGTTCTCTACTTCCTGCCTGTGTGACCTTGCACAAGTGATTTTGTTACTGTGTCAGGTTCATTTCTGCCTTCTGCCCAGAAAGCCAAACACGGAGATGACGAGATTGCAGCAGAGAGAGGGATTAATCACAAGGCAGCCATGTGAGGAAGCGAGAGCATGACTCTCAAATCCGCTTCCCCAAAAATGGGGACTCAGGGATATTTATGGGATGGGGTGCAGGGTGGTCTGAAATGTGCAGATGGAGGATTGGAGGTGAGGAGAGGTGAGGTAATTGATGTTCTGCACAAGCGTCGTCAGACTCCATGTCTCTTCATAGGACGCATGTTCACAAAATGGTGGTGTGAGCATGATCTGAGGGTGGAGGTTTTACCCTCTTGACATCAAAAGGTCACCTATCGGACACCTGCATGGGTCCAGTTGATGAGCTGGTGGTCTAAACCAGCCTGAAGTGGACAAGGAGTTCTCATTCCCGAAAAACAGCTCACACACCCATTACGATGGTGACCTAGGCTCCAGGTACACGTTACCTACAGGAACCTGGTGGGAGTCAGACAGCCTTTTGCCTAAACAGCACAGTTAACAACAGGCAGGGGAACAAATAAAGCTGTGATCAGTAATTGCAAAAAGAAAAAAAACTTTAGTTCCCAGCTGCTTCATCATCAATGGCTAACTGTTTGCCGGTTTCAATCCCTCTATTCCTTGGTCATTCCCTATTCTTGAGGGATTCCAGGTGACGACCCATCTAGCTCCTTCCTGGTGAATTGGGGTGTAGGTCTGGGTTAGAGGAATGAAACTGTTAACACTCATTTGGAAATATTCTCTTGTTCCTGGCTTCAGGTTGATATTTTGCATTATTAGAATTTTGGACCTTAGGGTCGGCCCTGTGGCCGAGTGGTTAAGTTCATGCACTTCGCTTTGGCGGCCCAGGGTTTCACTGGGTTCAGATCCTCGGCGCGGACATGGCACCACTCATCAGGCCATGCTGGGGCGGTGTCCCACATGCCACAACTAGAAGGACCCACAACTAAAATATACAACTATATACTGGGGGGATTTGGGGAGAAAAAAAGCAGAAAAAAAAAAAGAATTTTGTACCTTGCTTGACAGCTTTGGAACAACATCTAAAGGCCCGTTTTATAATGAAGTATCAGACCAGAAGGATAAGAAGGACAGACAACCCAAATTTTAAGAGTCCCTGAAAAATAGATCTAATCCCAGTGGGGCCTCCACTGGATCACCATGGGGGCAGACATCCGGTCTTAGTTCCCATAGTCTTCTGTTCCACTGGATATGCATCAGAGACTGAAGCAATGCCCCATACCCCGATCCTATAGTTGTCATTGATGATGGCTATCAGCACAGAATGTCGGCCTAGGGTCCATCACATTCCTAAGGAACTCAAAGGAACAAAGTTATCAACTTATCGCAGCCTGGAGGGGCCATCAAATCTACAGAGCACAAGTGGGTTACTTAATCAGAGGTCATGCAAAGTTACAACATAGTTTCTTTTCTACAATATGGCTGCCCTTACGTCACCCTTGCGTCGATCAGGTAGCAATTTCACCTCTCTGAGCCTTAGTGCTCCCATGGCATTTATCGGGCCAGCTCCCAACATTCTCGTGAGGATGCTTTTGAGATTGTGAAGTTCTAAGTCCTCAGTGCAGAGCAGGGAGAGATGCTCCACACATGAGTCTTTGCCTCTCTTCCCTAAAGGCATGACCCCCACCCTGTCCCATGGCCCCCGCTCCACAGCAAAGAAGCTCTCAGAATTCTCTACAGGATTTTTATTGCGGGTGGGGGGTGTCGGGGACGAGGGATGTCATGTGGGAAGTCTTCGACACAGAGGCTGGTGATGTGGGAAATTTCAGAGCCTTTGTCTGGGCCTCTGTCTGGGACACAGCCCTGGAAACAAGGGGTGTATCCAGCCTGAGTGGGGACATAGCGGGTAGATCCTGCTTGAGTGGAGGCGTGGCGGGTGGATCCTGCTTGGGTGGGGGCGTCGCGAATGGATCCTGCTTGGTTGGAGGGGCGGCAGGTGGATGCGGCTAGGATTGAAGGGTAAGAGGGGCAACCTGCTTCTGTGGACGGGAATGAGATCTATTTTAACTGGAATATTTTTGGTTGTATTTGCCGCCACTTTCCTGTAGAGAGAGACGGGGAGAGGTCACTGTGTTTTGCCCCAATCCCACCGTACCCTGACTCCCTGGTGTTTCTCTTCCCCCACGACAACAAGGAGGAGCCCAGGACTGGGTGGCCCCACTCCTGTGTCTGTTTCCCAGAGGGACCAGAGCTCCTTGAAGTCAGAACACTTCACGCTAGCCCGGCACTCAAGGCCTGCCCTCTCTGCCCCCACGCCCCCTCTTGCCTTCACTGTCCCCTGTCCCCTGATGATTCAAGGACACTTTCCAGTCGCCCTGCCTTTGCTCATGGTGTTCCCTTGTCCTCCAATGCCACCCTCTCCTTGACTATGTGCACATCTTCCTGCCTCAGGGCCTTTGCACTCCCCGTCCACAGGGAACATTGTCCCCAAGTTCCTGGTCCCTGCTGCATTTTCCTTCATTCAGATCTCAATTGAAAGTGTCACTCTTCAGAGCAGACCCAGTCTCCCTGTCTACAAGAGCTCCTCTCCGTCCCGGCTTGTTCTCAACACCCTGTTTATCGTCTTCTCAGTGCTGAGCTCCCTCTGGGCTCCTCTCCTGGAACTCCCTGGTTCATGGGCTGTTCCCCTCCGGCTCCCTCCCCCGAATGGCAGCTCCCCTTGGGGTGAGACTTCGTCCTGTTCATGGCTCTCATTCCCTGATGCACCAGGTCCTGGCCATGAGCCGATGCTCAATGAATATTTGTTCAGGAACGAATGCTTTCCTAACTCCTCAGACAGAGCCACTGTGGGCAAAACACCCTGGAGCGTCCACACTGTGCCAGGCCCCATGCGGCCCTCCACGTCCTTCCCCTCAGAAGCCCCCATGGCACAGACGGAGAAACTGCGGCTCCTGATGTCACAGGAGGAGTGTGTCCGCCCCAGCCTGTGCCCCAGGTCTGTCCCGTCCCAGCTTGGGCCTGTCCCCACCACCCGGGGCCATCTCCACATGAGCCTGGCCGGAGTCAGGAACCTGTCCCCCAAGTCTGAGCACCCAGAGAGCCAGCTGTGTGACCGCAGGGACCTTGTCATCCTCCCCAGCCTCAGTTTTCCCAGTGTCTTCATCCATGCACCCAGCCCACCCGGGTCCCGGGAAGGGGACTCACCGGGTGACTGAAGCAGAGTCCTTCTTTTTCAGCTTGTCAGGGACTCCCTGGTCCTTGTTCCCCAGGGTGTGTGCAATCTTCTTCACAGTGTCCGGGAGGGCATCCAAGATGCCGGCTGGCTCAGGGACCGCCTGGACCCAGGATGGTCCTGTCCAAAGGAGGAGTAGGGTGGAAAGATTTCAGTATTGGGAGGCCTCACAATGAGCTTCCCGGGATGGGAAAGGACGTCCACCAAAGGGGTTCTAAGCCATCATCCTGTTAGAATGCGGGGAGGGTCCTGGAGCTCCCAGATGCAGCTCAAGCTGCCAGGAACCACCTTATTCTCACACAGAACACCCTCCCGCACCGCCACCCTCCCCAACCCCACCCCTGTCTCCCCTCTCCAGCCTGTGAAAGCAGGACAGCCAGTCCTAGAGAGGTGAAGGTCAGTACGTCATGGGTTGGTAGGGCTCGTCTGGGCGGATCTCCCATCTGCTGGACGAAGCCATAGGGAAGCTGAGACCCGCCTAGTGTGGTGTGGGGGGATGATTTGTGAATGACGGGGACCCAGGGCACAGAAGGGGCCCCAGAGATCTCCAGGGTCCTCTGAGCCTGGACCCCATGCCCGGGCTTCACACTTCCAAGTCTCAAACTCCCAGGGTCTCCTCTCCTCTTTTACCTTCACACACCATCCACAGAGCCACCAACAGGACTGGGAGTAACAGGACGAGCCTCATGGCTGGTGAGGGGTCTCTGGAGGCAGAAGCGGGGATGGGATGATCAGTGACACCTCATGTCCCTCTGCAAATCCTTCCGGGGAAGTGAGCAAGGACCTACCTGGACCAGTGAGGAACAAGTGAGGTGAGTGAGCCTGGCCTGGCCGGGGCCTTTATTAGGCTGTGGAGGGGTGGGGCAGGTCTCCACTCCTTCCCCCTGGGCCTCCGCTGAGCCTGCCTTCCTCTGTCCTCTCACCTTTCCATTTGTGCCCCTTGCTGATGGAGGCGGGTCAGGTGGGGCCCAGGCACGACCCTTTGGCCCAAAGCCTGTGGCTGTCCATCGCCCGCATCTCCAAATCTCCCTGACTGTGGGGCCCTCCGCCTGCTCCAGCCCCTTCCCCCTCAGGGGACAGTCTCCACCTCCCGAGCTGATGCACACCCTGCTCACAGCCTCAGGGCCTCTCCCTCTCCCTCTGGGTAGCTCAGGGACTCAGTTCACACTGGACCCCGGCCCTCTTCCATCCCGCCCCTCTTCACAAGCCACTTCAGTCCAAACAGCTCCTGCTCCCTGTCTGGGGTCACAGAGCTGCCCCACACTCCTACTCCCTGCAGGCCCCCTCCAATATCATACTCACACTCGCCCTTCATGCCCCACAGCTTGCATCTGGAGCACCCAGGCCTCGTTCTCTGCTCTCTGGGTCTGAACTTTACGGCCCCCTCTCTCCCTTTTGGGCAGGGGTCTTTTGAGCCTGTCTGAATAGCAACACCACCACTGCGAGGCTCACAGCGCGGGCCCCTCCATCCATCCCCCAGACCCCTCTTCCGTTCCTCCCCCATCTCCAAGTCAGCCGGGCCCGGTAAACACTCTGTCTGCTGTGCATCACCCTCCACGCCCCTCCTGGCACCCAGGCCCCCATCTCCCCTCTCTCCACCACATCTGCCTCTCAGGGCTGGATCCAGGGCTTCCTCCCTCCACTCAGCCACCTTTGACCCCCAGTGATCCCTGGCAGCTGGGAGAAGGGTGGCCCAGGATCCAGACTCTAGCTTGGCTGACCTTGTGTCCCCCAACCACGTGTCAGTCTGGAGATGAGAGGGGATGGTTTGAAAGGGACACACAGACACTACCCTGGCAGCATTGCAACACCCCTCTGGCCACCTCAGCACTTCCGGTCCCTGTCAGCCACACTGCTGCCTTCCCAGACATCCGCCTCCCTGGTGAGCCCAGCAGTCCCCAGACATGCACCCAAAAGTCTGCTCCCCTCCCAGTCCTGACTGAAAAGAAGAGAAAAACAAGTTGGCTTTTCCAGTCTCATCCGCATCCCAGCTATTGGGTTTTCTGTTCACAGATGGGGAAACTGAGGCACGGCCAAGAGCATTCAATGACTCAGTGAATGGTTAGGTAGGTGGAGGCATCTTAGTCCCTCCCCTTCCCAGACCTCTGGCTGTCTCTCTGCCTCCCCACCAGCGTCAGCCTCCTCCCCACAGCACCTCTGCCAGCCTGTGTTTCCTGAAGCTCCGTCCCCAGCCCCTGTTCCATGTCTTGACCTGACTGGGGCTGAGGTGAGGTGGGACAGCCCTGTCTGCTCAGACTTCGTCCTACGTGAGGATTCAGAATTGTCTCTTCAAACAAGAGACGTGGCTGGTGACACCTCTTTCCCTGACACCTTGGGAACAGCCTCAGAGGAGTGTCCCCAGCTCCAGGGCACACTGTGATCAGTGGAATGCTGAGCTGGGGCCAGGCCCTGGCCTCTGAGCCCACTGACCCTTTCCCTCCTCACTGGGCTCTGGGTGAGACACGTGGGAGAGGGGACCCGCCTCCACAGGGGCACCCAAAGCAGGGCCAGGGAAAGCCCTCGTGGTGCAGAGTGTGCCGGAGAGAAAGCAGGCACAGGCATGGGGAGAATGCAGCCTGGCCTGGGAGACACGAGCACCAGCCTGGCCCGTCCCCTGCGGTGGGAACCCTGCTCCCCTCCTCTGAGCACTGAGAGTGTGGGTGAGGAGAGGCCGGTGGCTGCCAGCTCCAGCCCTGGCTTCTCTAGTGTCAGCTCCAAGCTCCATCTCCCAGCCCTATCTCCTCCTAGCCCTGAGCTCCAGGGGCGGGGCTGGCCCTCCCAGGGTGGGCCTATCCTTCTCCCTGTAGCCTGGACCACCCACCCACTGGGCTTGTCAGGATAGACAAGAGGTCCACAACCCAGCTGGAGGAGGGAAGGAAGGGGAATGAGGTCAGAGGACAGGGAGGAGCAGCTCTGGGGGAAGGGACTTGCTAACCGAGAGGGAGGGAGAAAGGCAGAGGAACCAGGAACAGCAAAATCGTGGACGAGATGAGCCTGGGTGAGGGAGGGTGAAGGGAAAAAAGAAACAGTCAGGGTCAGGGGGGCAAGAGAACCCGGAGGTGGGAGAGTGAACAGAGAGTAGTGAAGGAAACAGAACCCAGAAAAATGAAGTCTCTTGGGGACAGGAGGTCAGCAGACAGAAGGAGCAGAATCAGGTAAGACGACAGGGACAATGGCATCGGGAAAGTGGGCTCACCATGACAGTGGTCTCCAGTCTTTTGAGTCACAACCCTGTAAACAGGTATTGTGAAGCTGAGATGGAAGGAAAGAGTGTGAGAGGCTGAGCTCCATGATGGAGGGAGACACAGAGAGGAAGATGCCAGAGACGGGGAGAGCTGAGAACAGTCAGAGAGAGGAAAGGCCGGGAGCTCCAATGGAGAAAGGAAGCAAGAAAGGAAGAGAGACCCCTAAGAGCTGGTGATAGGGACAGAAAGAAATAACAAACAACCCCGGAAGGAACATGCTCATCCTTCTCCCCGTATGTCTCTCTGGCCCCTGCATTGGACCATGTTTGGGATCCCCGGGACACAGGACACACAAATGCTTCGTGTCACTAGGAATAGCCAGGCTAGTCTCCATTCCAGTGACCCAGCCACAACTGTGAGCAATGTATGTAGCTTCCCAGGTGCCCACGTAACCAACCCATCATAGACCAAGCCGTCCTGTCCCTCTTGTATCCTATTGTATCCATAATGAAATGTCAGGGTTGTTTTGCAGGACCAGTGAGCAAAACCTGCAAGTCATGTGGCTGGAGCATGCTCAGAAGATGGAACCCTTGTCCTCAGATGACCTGGAGCCACCTAGGAAGCAAAAGTTCCATAACTGTGGAACTCAATGTGCAGAGAAAGTGGTGTGGGCAGCCTCATGAGAAGGGAGGGGTCCCTTGATGGGTAGCAATCCGGACTTCTAAGATTGTGACACTCCTGCCCTCCAATCACATTCCGCCAAGCTAGTATTCTGCATAACCACGCCCTCTCCCAACTCCATAAAGTCTGTCCCTGCTTCAGCTCTGGGAGACAGATTTGAGCCCTGCCTGCTGTCTCCTTGCATGTCAACCTTGCAATAAACCTCTTTCTTCTCTCCAAAGCTGGTGCCGGTGGCCTCTCCACCCATTGGGCAGTGAGCACTTGCTCAGTAACAAATTTGGTGACCACAAAGGGACTTTTGTTCTCTTGGCCACCTGGACAAAGCTCGGTGGCCCTCAGCAGGGCGCTGGTCCTCGTTATTGACGCTGAGCAGCCCCCAGGCTGTTTGAGTCTGGAGGGTCAACTTTGGGCTCTTGCTTCCCCATGGCAGCACCAGCAGCTCTTTCTGTTACTTTCACTCTTAAGAGAAGAAGCCATTTGTGGATCAAGATGTCTCTGCTTGAGTAACCTTAAGAAAGTGACTGTGCTTTATCTTATCTCTCTTGTTTGAGCCCCTGGAAATATAAGTATGACTTATATTTTAGGAAATCCTGGCGGGCTGACATGCAAGTCTTCAGCTTGGATCTGGGATAATTAGAGACAGGATAAGGGTTCACTCGGAGTTACTCCTGGTAATCTGGTCCTGAGTACCATTGGTAATCTGGTTCTGAGTGCTCCTGGTAATCTGGCTAGCATTCTAATCTATGTTACATGCAGAATTGCGTTGTGCATTATTGTGTATTAATGCTGTTTGTCTAAATTGAATTGGTTGTTTAGGGACTAAGTTCTGAGTGACCACAAGAAATTCTCTTTTGGAATTAATTTTAGGAAGTTCTTCTGACTGAAGAAGAGAGGCCGTGTTCCCTCCAGTCCCTCTGGATGTTCCCAGGTGACGAGGGTTTTGTGGAGGTGTCGGGGCATCTGCCTGTGACACGCAATGACCTCATAGGGACGACCCCCCAATATTCCTCAGCAAACCTTCCCTGTTCAGAGTGAAGCGCCTGACAGTGGCAGCCTGTCTGCGGTTTACTGCCCTAAACTCTGTTGGTGTTGGAACACGTACAGGAAACAGCTGACCCTTTGGTCATTCTCGGGGGAGTTGTCTCTGCAAGCTCCACACTGTCAGAATGTGAACCTCATCCATAGAGAGACCTTGTTTGTTGCAGCCACCTGGGAGTCAGCCCTCTGAAATGGGAAATGTAGATGACCCACCCCATGGAAGCCTTTTGGGACACATTCTTCAAAATTGGTTGATGTTCACTTGTAAGCCCATGAAGAAAAAGAAAATGATTTTCTTTCATAAGACATTTGACCCCAAGACTCACTGGGTCAAATGAGGTGTGGCCTGAGAATAGGTCTTTGAACTATGAGACCATCTTGCAATTAGACCTATTCTGTAAAAGGGAAGAGAAGAGGGATGAGATCCCTTATGTGCAGTCTTTCTTGTCTTGATCTCAAAAAAGAAGGGGTGCAAGCTCATGACCCAGAGGGAGGATGCACGGAAGAAACCCTATCCTTCCAGAATCAAAGTCAGAGGGTGACCTTGCCCTTGCCCATTTGTTGTGTCCTACAGCACCTCCACCGCATGCTGGAGGCACAGTTGGAGATGACCAGGAAGCGCATAATGACCCCCCTGATGCCGCTGACTTGGCTCAGTACCCACTTTGTCTAATAGTCAGTAAGGAATGGTCACCCTCCTCATACCCATTGGGGTCTTCAGTTCGACACACAGAACGTTCCACCCCAGGTAGGGAAATTCCCGTTAAGGCAAGTTCCCCACCAAGGCCAGCCCAGAGGGTTTCTGTAGGTGCATTCCCCCTTTTCCACTTCGGACATATACAGTTGGAAAAACAACATGCCTGCCTACCGAGATGATCCCCCACAGAGGGAAAGTTTATTTACGTCCATATTTGCTACTCTGACCAACTGCGCCGACGTTCAGGCCCTCAGGGACACCCTCCTCACCCCAGAGGAAGGTGGATGATACTGGACAGAGCTCATCAGGAGGCCAAGAGACTCCATGAATCACAACTTAGCAATCCAATCAGGGTTCCAGTGGTAGAGGCCCTGCCCGGGGTTGAGCCAGGCTGGGACTCCAATGACGCCGGAGACTGGTCAAGCTTAAACCATCACAAAGCATGTGTAATAAGTGGAATGCAGGAGGGGGGCCCCAAGCCAAAGAGCCTAAATGAGGTTCGAGAGGTGCAATAGAGCCCAAAAGAAAGCCCTTCGACCCTCCTAGTGAAAGTCTTTGAAGCTTCCAGAAGGTATAGTGA